CGACCTATCGGGAAAAGCAGTTGATTTAGCAGACTTATATAAAAGTCAAATCGTTATGGCTCGGCAACTGGGAACATCAATATCAGAAATGGCGCGTTTAGTGGGTTCTTCACGTGCAATTGTTGTGAGCACATCTCAAAAGTGGTGTATGGATGGCGAAACGACGAGTCGTCTGCTAGCAGTGTGTTGTCGACGGTGCACTGATTCCATAGGAGAATAGAGACTGATATACATTGTTCGCCTGTGACCGAAGAGCTAGAACAGCCGAAATAAACGCCAGCTACAGCAGTGGCGATCCAGACATTAGAAGAATTAAAGAAAGTTGTGTGGTCTAACGAATCACGTTTCCTGGTCCATCACGTCAACAGGCGTGTGCTAATGCGACGATTTCCAAACTAAGCCCTGGTTCCCGGATGTACAGTTGGACGGAGACAAGCCGCTGACTTGGTTATTACGTGGTGTGGGCAACGTTTCATGGAGCACATTAGTACCCATGATCCTCATAGAACAATCCTTGACATCTGTGCGCTACGTGAACATTGTTGCAGACCAGGTTTACGCATTCATGACAACAGTATTTCCGGCGTCAGGATTGGTTTTTACCAAGAGGATAATGCACCATTTCATAAGGGTCGAATCGTCAGGAAGTGGTTTCAGGAAAATTCCGGTGACTTTTAAATCATGACTTAGCCTCTAAATTCACTTGACTCCAATACAGCATTTGCGGTCCCACCTGGAAAATCAAATTCGTGCTGCCGCGCTACCCCGTCGCAATGTGCGGGAATTCGATGACCAGTTGGTGAGCATTTGGTACCAAATACCTCAGACTAAATATCAGCACCTTGTGGAGTCAATTCCACGCGGGGTGCTGGCAGTTTTGAGGGCTAAAGCTGGTCCTACATGTCATTAATAGGTTGGTCATAATGTATTGGCTCTTCGGTGTATATTTCTGCTGTATACATTATTATAATATTCAATGCTCATATGGACAATTACGAGTTAAAGTGATACTTATCGTTGCAATGTCTGGAATTAAGAACCAACAAGCAACAAATATCTTAGGCGTAGTAAAAAAGAAACATTATCAGGTGGTAAATTTCACAATTATTCAAATAATCAGTCCATTGGTCAATTCATCTATTCTTATTTAAAATATATAGTTTTATTTCTTATTATATTTTCCTCAGTTCCAAAGACATAAATTTTTGACTTGGCTTTCGCGATTGAAGAATACAAATATAAATAAGCGAAAGTCCTTTCTCAACATTCAAAACCTAAATTATAGTACACGCTTTAGGTTTCTCTAGCAGAATACCAAAGGACAACAAATATAGTCAATTAAGATACAAAATGTTGTAGCCGATGCTGAATGTATAACGTTTTTTAAATGCTCTAGTAACCTATCCAAGGACCACGTGCGTAGTTAATTATTACATAAAATACTATAGCCGACACCAAATGTTTTGTACATGCTTTGCATGTTGTTGTGTCTTATATCACTTGTTTTGTGACTTATCTCACTTGTCTCACAGTACATGCTTTACAATTCTTCAGAAACGTAACCAATAATCATTAGTATCCGCCGCTTATTAAAATCTTTTCCGCTCAAAGCATTTGTGAATTTACTTAGTAGCAAACTTCAAGAAACAGCGATTTCAATGTTACAAATGAATTTTGAACGTATTTAATAACATACCAGCTAATATGTTATTATATCCATTGTTATGTATGGAATTACGGCATGGGGTCGCAGAGCGGGAGAGTTACAAAATTTACGTATGAAACTCAATACCATTCAGCGGAGCTGTCTTCTCGCGCTCACCCGTTATTTCCGCACAGTCTCGAGTGAAGTGCCTTGCGTCCTGGTGGGCACTCCACCTCTCTCAATAATCTACAAGTTTTATTATGATAAGGCTACATTAAGAAACAATATTTTGGATTTATTTAACTATGATGAAATCCTAGTTTTTTCTTATTCCCTTTCTGTCTTTAATTTACGCCTGAGGCATCCGACAAACCATATTTCTATCAATTATAATATTTATGATCCTTTGTTTAATGGAATACCAAATTTTTACTGATGCATCGGGTTATGAGGGCGGGCTGGTCTCGGCTTATGTTGTATATTATTTTGATACTGAGATACTATAAATTGGGCCTTGAAAAATATAACTCTGTTTATCAAGCCGAGCTCATCGCCGTCATCTATGCCCTTAAATGGATATTGAAAAGTATTTTGCAAGAAATTCTAACTTTTATATTTTTACAAATTGCATGTCTTGCTTAAATGCACTTTATTAATGCAGAAAATAATAATGGTCTGATTATCGATATTATAGATCTTAACCAAAACTATCTTTATCCTTTAATATTAAGTTTGGCTGGGTTGAAGCCCATATCGGTAATGAGAGAGCGGATGTGCTCGCAAAAGAGGCTGTCTTAGGGAGTGTTTCGGGGACGCCCTATGTTCAGGGTTAAAAACAAATGGCAAGTTATTTATTCATATTATTTTAAGCAATGGCAGTTACAGTGGAATACTTCTAAATGGAAAAGTCGTTATTTGAAACACTTAAAATTGAATAAGAAAAAGAATATTATCTTCAATGATTTTGAAGTTAACCACTTTCTGACCGGACATGGGCGTTTCCCGGGATACTTCGCTAGGTTTAAGATACAGGATGACGATAAATGTAAACTATGTGGTCTGTTTGGTGATGCTAAGCACTTCCTCGAGATCAGACCCTACTTTAATAGCTTAAGAAACAATAAAAAATTGATTTTGAAAATCCCTTTTAATGCTATAAAGATTTATCTCAATTATGTAAATCTGTAATGAAAATTGTTAACGGTGAGCGCCGGGGCAGTGGGAATCAGTGTAATATTTTTTTCCTTTTTATTGCCATCACTATTTGGTCTATTTTACTAATTTTTTGTTACTATTGTTTGTGTTTGTTGTTCGCGGTTTTTTTTTTTTTTTTTTTTCGTCTTTGGTGTCTGTTTTTGTCTAAATGTTTTTGTATTTGTTCTTTTTCTTCACTTTTATGTTTATAATTATTATTAGCACATGATTATTTTTATTTAGTTATTTTATGTTTCAATTATTTTCCTTTGCTGAAATGGGCGTGGCCTGTTATGACCATGAAACCAACTTGTTTGGGTAGGTGGGTCGGGCTGCGCCCACTACTGATACTGATACATAGCAGCTAATGATTAATATAGTAATCAATACCTAAATTATCAATGAAAAAACAATGCAAAAATTAAACTATTCGCGAAACTTAGAAATTTACTTTTGATTTATTTATTTCAAAAAATTATATATATATAATTACGTAACTGGTGAAATTTTAAGCTAAGAACTGCTGTATCCATATGTTGTATTTTTAAGTTCGTAAAACCATTAGCAGCTTTTCTGAGCCCCGTCTTTCAGTTCAAGAATTTTTAAAGTCTCTAGTGCCTTTCTCGATTCAGCTGACGTTGGGACATAGTCACTTTCTTTCATATCACTTTTCACTGTCAGTTTCAGTTTCTACAGTTGTTTTAATACTTTATGTAGTGTCGTAGTCAGCGTCAGCACATTTTGTTTCAATATTACCACCGATTGCAAAGAATTCTAAAATCAAATATTCGAAATTTTCCTCATGTCCAAAATAATAGAAATAGTTTGAAATTGCTATATGGCTTCTTCTAGAGCAGGGGTTGCAAACCTTTTTAGGAAGAGTGCTATTATCTGAAAAAAACAAAAGTTATGCTTGCCACTTCCAACTTTTCCAACATATTAAAAAATGTAAAAAGGTGAAAAGAAATGTTATTAATCAGTTGATTGTGGGATTTTCTAGCATTTTAGTGAATTTTACAGCTTTTGTAAAATTAGAAGAGCTCTAGAAATTGGAACATTTTTTAGTTTCACAGTTTGAAATCATTCCAGAACAGCGGTTTCAACATATCTAGTTTCAACATATCGATTTTCTATCCCTTTGGTGCTTCCTTGAGACATTTGCATTTTTCACTAGTTCTTTCACAATTTTATTTCTTAGGTTAAATAAACTGCAGAACGCTGTTTGAGTAATCACCAAACTTTGGCTGCATTAAAAAAAATATCATAATCTTCTAGCAATTTATCCTTTTCTTTTAGGCTAGAAGCGTTTTGTTTAGGCATTTTCGACATGCTGCAAATCATGCATACGGCAAATAAAAATCTTCCCTCCTGTGATTTGCTCGGATCCAAATTCCCATTTTTTACCAGCCGGAAGATTATACCGTTGTCTGTCAAGTCGGTCTGTCACTTATGGTTTATTATAGGCATAATCAATGCTTTTTCTTTTCTTCAGCTTACAACGACCACTCCCCTTTTCCAACTTAATAATTCCAACTTAACCTGTGAACTTAATGTGTGTCTGCACATCCAGACCCTACCAGCTAGTGTTCGAGAAGGGAAAATATTCTTCACTTAAGCACCACCTATTCTTTAATCCTGGGGAGCACTCGGTCATTTATAATCAAAGGACTTGTCTCTAATGCCTCTACAGTTTAAAGATAAAGGTATTCTGCCGCTGTCAGCTGTAGTCGGACAGAGATTTTTAAACAGTGTCCGACAGGAAATAGGGAAGTGTAAACAATACTACAGGGGATCTTGATTCCATCTAAACTGGTCGAAACTTCTACTAAGCCTGTTTCATTAAAGCACTGCTTAACTGAAAGATAAATGAATGAACTACAAACAGCTTTAACCAGCCGCAAACAGTTTATTCCGAATATGAATTATCAGACTTGGTTTGAGTTTTATAAACATTGGGTTTTGTATTGATTAATATATATTCGTTTAGGTTCGTAGAAATTTGAACGCAATAAGCGGCTGAATTTATTAACCAATGAGCTTAATAAGCGGCGGGCACTGTATAATTACTTATGATATAAAATGTGACAGCCAACACTGAACTTATAAAAATTTTTATACAAGTTACTATATTTATGCTTCAGTTAATCTTCTTTTTTCATAGCGTTATTAGTACAGCAATGTCCTGTATTCGAAGAAGAGCCTTCAACAGGTGCTACCTACCAAGGCAAGTGCTATTTCTTTCACAGCAACCAACCCAGATCGCTGGAAGACGCCACTAAGTTTTGCGCCCTGCATGGAGGTAGAATAATACATCATATGATGCTAAGTTTTGGCATAAGAGCCTTTTTCATGTGGGAGTTGTACAAACGCCACAAAACAAACTACGAATATTGGAATGGAGTCGCCAGAGATCGTGTGTCTAAGAAATGGACGTTGCTAGAAGGTAACTGATCCTTTTTCTTTTCCGCGAACGGGCTGGCTGCATGGATGTTTTCGTGCTTTCCCCCCATGTGTAACATGTATACGAGCCAGTTTCCCTTAGAAAGTCCTCCACGAAGGCATCCCTCCCCTTAGGCAGATAGCCCAGAGGATTTGCCGTAATCACATAAAACTAAACCTTAAGTCTACCTGTTGTATTTATTTTAATACAAGCGAATTTTATTGCAAGCTTGTATTTCGTTCACGCCTATTGTTATTAAATAAATTAAATAACCTAACCTAACCCTTTTTCTTTTCCGGACGAGATTAAGAACCTGAGTTTGAATTAGAGGCTAGTAAAAACACTGTCTTCAGCTACTTAGCAGATTTCTTTAATAATAGCAGCCATTTCAGCATATTTAGCCCTAATATACACAGTGTCATATATCTGTGGAACCGGTGCTTGTATATATATGTGTGTGTATGTATTTGCATGTGTGTGCGTAATATAATCTGAAATAACATGATGATTGGGCGATGGCAGCAATGGATTGGAGATGGTGGCATTGTACTTCGGCGAAAGCTGTTCTGCATAGCTACAAAGACGTCATTTACAGGCAGACGTAGCCGAACGCAAGGCGTAATTTATTACTGGACAACTAATTCTTGATATACATTCTCATTCACGCATCATTATGAGTGCGATATACACCCTATTTTCATAACATTCTTTGAAATTTATATCTTAGATAACGGATAAAGACGAATGATGAGCGGCGTGTGTTAACAAGAGCAAAGGTAAAGCGGGAAGTAAGCACGTATTCAGAAAATTCTTGGGAGAATTAATTATTAATTCTTTAATCTGATTGGAGAAAAGATATCCGCATTGCTAAGCGCTACGTCAGTTAACATGATGCAGCTTAATTTCGAAATGACGCTATTTAGATTCAAATATTTCAAAGCGTTGGCGGTTTTAAGACTGGAAGGGAAAGTAGTCAACCTAAAATGAAGAATTAAAAGAGTTAATTTGCTTTCCTGTTTTATATCACATGAGTAGTAGGCAGCCGTACTCGTGCGGTCATAAGATGCCGCCATGACGCAATAGAACAATGTATGATGCAACGGGGGCGTGGCCTCCGCCATCTTTTATCACGTGACAACCGGAAGTGACGTAGATGAATGGGATGACGTTGACGGAATGACGTCATGCATAGTTTCGTTTCTATTGTGTGGCAAAGACCCTATTTTTGAAAGCTTTTTTTCTGGCAACGAGCTCTTGAACCACATGTTTGGAATGACATCACTTTTATTATTTCAATTATTTACCCTTTTTAAATATTTAATACGTCATTAATTTTAATTTTTATAAGTTTTTACTCTTTTTAATACGCCATTATTTTAATTATTACCTTTCATAATTTTTATTGAATTTAATATTATTTTCCCTGAATTTTAAAAATAACTCCACGAGTGGGATTCGAATCCGCCATCTCTTGCATGGGAGAAAAGAGCGTTACCTCTTGGCTACCCTTCGTTTTATCAAGCTTCTTATTTCACATTGTGGACCATTGGTGTCATAAGGCTGAAAGTATGCGCATGCGTGAACATGCCTTTGCATAAAAACCGCGTCACACATTTGTTTTTTCACGATGGCGAACGAATGCAACCTTGATGGCCAATCAAATTCTTGCTAAATTTATCCTTTTTTGTAACTACGAATGTTTGTCTCTTGAAACAGACTAGGATTTCTTTTGGCTTCTAAATCATTACTTTATTCATTGCTGTTTTAGATGTAAGATTTTCCCACATTTAAAATTTCTCTTTTATTTCATTTTATTGGGATATTTTAATTGTTTTCCTTTTTCTTCTCATTCTTACTAAAGTTAATTTATTAATTTTTCATTCCATTTTTTTTCCTTTTCCAAACATAAATTTTATTTTTAACTTTCGCAAATTGACGTTTATTTCTACAAAAGTGAATTTACATTTCTTTTTTACTTGCAAAAAATTTTTTTTTTTTTTTTTTTTTTTTTTTTTTTTTTTTTTTTTTACAAAAGTAATATTTATTTTTAAGAATTGAATTTTTCCTTTTCACTTTTTTAATTTGCAAAAGTTTTTTTCTAAATTTATACTTTTCCTATTTATACTTTATATTTATTTATGTATTTATTTATATTTATTTATTTTTGTTTAAACTTATTTTTTTTTACAAGAGTAATATTTATTTTTTTCCTTTTTGCTTTTCATTTAAAAAAAGTTGTTACACCATTTTTAACTTTTTTTTTTTACGAAAGTAATATTTATTTTCATAAGTTTAATTTTTTTTTCAGTTTTTTGTTGACACAAATACAGTTTTTTGTTGTTATTTTTTCCCTTATGTATTCATTCCATTTTTTTTTCCTTTTCCAAACATAAATTTTATTTTTAACTTTCGCAAATTGACGTTTATTTCTACAAAAGTGAATTTACATTTTCTTTTTACTTTGCAAAAGTTTTTTTTTTCTACTTCCAAAAGTAAATTTTAATTTTTACTTTCCTTTAATTTTTTTTAAAAATTTCTACCCTTAACTTTTTCCCTTGTTTTAAATACAGCATGATGTTACATTTCCATTTATCCAAAAGTAAACTTACTTACATTTGTCTGTCTAAGAAATTTTAAGCTGAAATTTGCATGCATACAACTTCACTCTGCAAGCTTTCATGGATAATATTTTCTGTAACTTTAAAGCAATCCGCACAATGTTCATTCTATAAAGTTTAACTGGAACACTACATTTCTTACTTTTTTCTATACTACTAAGTTGGAGATACTCAAAACTTTCTCATCTAATGTATTGTACTAACTATTAATGACTGTATTAACTTTTTGGAAAACTACACAAAACTTCGCGGATTCTATTTTACACGTCTTACCTTTATTCAAAGGATTCACCAAACTATGTCTGACAAACGTAATTTTTACACTTTCCATTTACACAATTTAGCCTCATATTTAACTTTTATCCTGGTTTTAAAACATATTCATGGTGTACGTTTCTGATTCCTTCTTCCCCAAAAATTAAATACAGACTTACACAAATTTTGTTATTGCAAGACCTACTGACTTTGAACAAATCTTATAAGCAGTAATAAATTTTCATGGTATGAAGTCCACTCAAACCAATGCATGCTACCCATAGTTTAGATACGTACCAATTTAAGTTTAGATACGTACCAATAGTACTGGATTTCTTATTATTTTACTCTACAGACATTTATACGTATATATTCAGAACACTCCTTTTTATTCAGTAAGATTCCTTTATACTACTAACACACATTTTGTTAACTCTTTGAAATATTTTACAAAAATATCTTGGATTTTCTTGCAGATATCCTACTTAAATCACCAAACATACACTGAAACCTTGATTTTTCCTTCATGTAAAAACGTCACTCGGATTCTTAATATGATTCCGCCATTTACCGCAGAACTCCACAAACACTACTTACTATATTTGAACTTATCACAGCCTTACTCGCCCACCAGCGTCCGAGCGGTAAAGTCGCTGAACACTGGTAGTTCGGTCTGAGGTTCGATTCCCGCTAACGGGCTGGCTGCATGGGCGTTTTCGTGTGTTTCCCCATGTGTAACGTGTATACGAGCCAGTTTCCCTTAGAAAATCCTCCACGAAGGCATCCCTCCCCTTAGGCAGATAGCCATCGTGTGCTTTGCCATAATTAAATAACACACAGCCTTACTCTCTTAACAAGGTACAGGAGATCGAATTTATGTTTTAACTACAGAGAAGGATATCGACATTGTAACGTTTGTTTTAAATTTGAATTATAGTCACATTTACGAAGGAGAACTCAAAGTCTATAATACACATGGAATTATTATTCAGCTTCTCTTTGTTTAAATGTAGATTCTATGCTCATATCCTAGTCTAAAATTAAAAGCTTCGAGTCAAAATTAAGGGGGTTGCTCTTAGGAAGCCTTAATTAGAAGTAGTTATAGGAAATGTTAATCAATACTTATTATCTTATGGATTAAACTCTTACTCTCTATTTGATCACGTGTATAGAAAACAGATATTTGTCATTCATAAAGAAAAGAAAGGTGAATTAAATGAGTTATATTCTTGTTTTTCCAACTGCAAAACCATCTTAAGGTACTATCGGATTTTATCTTTAAATTATTCCAATAATAATCAGAACAATGGGGGCCATTATTCTTAATTATAATTTACTAATGCAAATCCCTATTTTGGTTTCAAATGGCTTTCATTAATTACATTAATGATATGGATATTTACTAATAAATTACTATTACTAAAAATAGTTATAATACTTTATTACTGATATGTTTATGTACTATTTTATTAAATAGCTTATATTAATTATTAATAAATTATTAATTAATTTATTAATATTAATTATTTATTTATTAATAAACCCAAAAAGTGCATATTTATATTTATTAAGCTGTTTAATAATACATAGAAGAGCACTTCAAAACTTTGCGTATCCTATGTAATTTGTCTCCATTCTGGTACCATGTGCATCCTTATACCCATTACTGACTTACAGTGAAGAACAGAGGATAACTCTAGCTCCATTCAAATTTTTATTCCTGATGTACTGAATGAGACCTAAAAACACTTTTCTTTTAAAATATATCTCCCCTTTTGATCCCTGACACAGCCGTTTACTTTCCCCTTCCGTAATTAACGTCAGTCTCTTGCTCTTGACCGCATTTGCAAAGCCACCGAATTTACAATTCTACTCAGCTTTTGTAAGAGCAAAGATCAGGTGATCACTTAAAGTTTTAGGAGACTGCTGGCGTGTTTCCTCCGCTGGAACCACTTTTTATGAAAAACTGCCTTATAACTAATTTTGTTTAATTACCGTCCAGATTTTGCAGAGTACTTGACCTTCATTATAGTTCTTTTTATTAAATTTACATTTTATATGCTGTACAATTCCAAAACTAAGCTACCAATAGGATGAATATTAGCACATTCTACTGAATTACCTTGTTCTGAAGAATTTCTTTTACTTCCACATTTTTACCTTATGTCTACATAACCTGCATTTATTCCATTCGTCTTCCTATTACTGATAGGAAAAATTACATTTACGTGAGAGATTTGGAATACTGAAGATCATATGAATGTCGAATAAAAAGAACAAATCTGGCATTCTGTCATAATTGACTAATACTCTGAATAATAATATTTTATGAAAACATCAGTTTCATTCACGTGAATAAAATAAATACATTCTTAAAAACAAACATCCAGAAAATCTATCACAAGTGTCAACATAAACAATATACAAATATATTTTGAAGTATTTAAATATTTCATAATCTGAAGATAAACACAAAAAGTATCGAGAATTCATTGGCATATGTTCAAAGAGATAAAGTAGCAAAGATAAAATAGTTTCCAATAGCAAAGAGAAATGCTAAACTACTACCTAGAGCACACTTTCAAAACGTTTGCGAAAAGACAATGATATCAGAAAGACATAAAGTTTATGGAATATGACATTATTTAAAAATGTTTTTTCGAAATTTTAGTTCTGATGTATTCGTGTACATGCTTGTAAAAAACAAATATATAAATTTTTAGGAAAATTTTGCATGTTATCTATTTTGGTAATAATACTTTTAAGTTCGGAAAATTTTCTATACTGAACATACGTATCTACGAAATTCTTTGGTAAAAGCGGAAAGTAAATTGTTAGAGAGTGAGATCCGTCGAAAGAATAATGGACTGTAATCAATTATAAAGGTTTATTCATCAATAGAAAGGCACAGGGGCCTGAAGGATCAGAGCTGAACGCTTTTGCTAGCGCTGATGGCTATTACAAAGAGATCGAGCAGGAGCCCAAAAGGAACAGCCGCTCTGTTCGCGGTCTACAGAAGTTCTGTCGGTTAAAGGCGGAGGCCGTCGCAGCGCCCTCTAGTGAGATGAATGTTTCAACAATAGGATGGGACGGAACATCCCGCCCCGCATTGAAATATTTATATTTCAATACAACATAAGACTTATAACATAATAAATTATAATACAATACTATTAAAATGAGAATATCCATTACGACATAGTGAATTATGGGATGTAATAGAATAAAATAACATAAACATTTATACAGTTACAGAAAATTATAATATCTAATATAATATGATTTACATTAATGAGTTTCCTCACATAAACATACGTATTATTATTCAATAGGTAGCAGACATATTTTGGATATGCACCTTTTGAATGTGCCGGTAGGAGTTCTAACTATAACTACTCTGACCTTTCCATCAGGGTCCGGTTATAACTTCTTGTATACGATATGTAGCCCAATTACAAGGAGGCAGATTATCTTCCTTGAGTAAAGCAAGGGCGCCAGGGTTTACGTTTGTCTTGGCAAACTGCCATTTATTGCGCTGCTGTAAATGGTTAAGGTAGTCTCGATGCCACCTTTTACAAACTGACTGAATCATCTTAGTAGTTTTTTGCCAACGAGACAGCCTATTTTCTTTTAGATGCAATACATCAGGTTCTGCCATGGCATTTAATGGGCGTCCAATCAGAAAATGCCCAGGAGTGAAGACTTCAATAATCTGTAACTCCAGAGGAATAATGGAAGTTAAAGGACGTGAATTCAAGAATTTCCTCTATTTGAATAGAAACAGTCAGAAATTCTTCTTCTAGTGTAAGCTTAGCATTACCAACAGTTAGTTCGTTTCAGATGGTGTTTAAACGATTTAACCCTGACGGCCTCCCAGAGACCTCCAAAATTAGGGGCTCTAGGTGGAAGAAAACTTCCAAACAATGCCTTCTGAAGCTAAATAGCTAGCCTACTCCAAATTCTGATTGTGCTTACCAACTTTTCCAACCGTTGTAATTCCGAACGTGCACCTACAAAATTCGTTGCACTTGTCTGAAAAAAAAAAAAAAAAATGGCTGGAACTCTTACCCCGTCGGGCAAAAAAATCTTTTTAAGCCAGCAATCAAAGACTCAGAAGTAAGGTCTTGTCAGAAATTCGAAATGAACAGCTTTAGTAGCAAGACAGACAAAAATACAAATATAAATCCTTTGCAAAATGCCCTTTCTCTGCCCCTTGTATTTGATTTCAAAAGGACCGCAGAGGTCAAAGCCCGTATTGGTAAATGGCGGGCTTGGTGATACTCTTTCAGACGGAAGATTACCCATTAATTGAGTCACTGCAGTGGGATGCATTTTAAAGCAAGTTAGGCATTCATGAACTACTTTCTGGCTAAGTTGCGGCCATTGATAGGCCAAAACTGTTGGCGTACACTATGTAAAAGAGACTGCGGTCCTACATGTAAATCTCCTTTTGTGGAAGTATTCCATTATGAGCTTCGTGAATCTACTATCTGGGGGGAGGATGATGGGATATTTTTTATTGTAATTCAAGTTGGAGCTACTTAAACGGCCTCCTACACGCATTAAACCTTTCTTATCCAAGAAAGAATTAAAAGATTTTAACTTACTCTTGTTGGACACCGGTAGACCTCTTTTTAGAGCCGAAAGCTCTTCAAGAAAATACTGTACCTGCGAATCTCGAATGAGGATATCTCGAGCCTCGACGTGTTCTTTTAAAGCCAGGGGACCCTGACGTTTATGTTTGGAATTTTTGGCATTGTAAATCAATCTAAAAATAAAACTTAAAATTCTAATGAGTTTCTTATAATTATTAGTCCTGTTCATAAGTTCATTTAACATATCACTTACTTGTGGACAATAGCTAAAGTCGTAGTCACAGGAGTTTTCAATTCATTTAGATATCGGTCATCTGCAGGGCTCACAAATGTCTTTAATCATAGGTACACATACTTCCTTAAATAGAAATGAAATGGTCCGTGCCACCACATGTTATTTGGTGCTATTTCTTCTGGATTCAGACCTCGAGAAATTAAATCCACCGGATTGTCTCTTTGAGGAAACATGCCTTTCCAAATAAAGTTTTCCGTGAGATTTTCTATTTTGGTTACTCTATTGCCTACAAACGTTTTGAGTGAATGAGGCGAGATGTGGCAATCCAGGCTAATGCGATTGTTTGAGTCCTGACCACAGGAATACTTCACTGATATCTAATTTCAGCGCGGAGAGAGCTTTCTTCAACCTTCTTCACCAGTTGAGCTAGAAGGAGACATGCATACAGTTCGAGTCTCGGTACAGAGATTTTCTTTAATGGTGACACTCTGGATTTACTACACACAACAGTTCAGTAGAGCACTGCTCACTAGATATTGATTGAAGGTACAGAACCGCTCCAAATGCTGTTTCACAGAAGCGTCAGCAAAACCATGGAGCACAACTGTAGTATTCGGGTTCACAGCCCGTCTAGAAATGCGAAGCTTCTCGATTTCGGTAAGTGTAGAAACAAAATGTGTCCATTTCTTAGCTAAAGGTTCAGGATGATGCTCATGCCAATCAATGTTAATACGCCATAACGATTACATAAAAGTTTTAGCTCTTGTGATTACTGGGCCAATTAAGCCCAAAGGATCGTATATGTGGGCGATATCTGATAAGACTTGCCTTTTCGTATAAGTAAGACGGGAACTGATGGTGACTTTATAGGAAAAGGAATCATTTGTTGTATTCCATTCGATACCTAAAGCCTTGACAGTTCTTTTATCATCCTGGAAAGGAAAAGCATAATTCTGCTTCGTAGAGATATTAACGTAGAGTTCTGGTTTATTAAAATACCATTTCTGCAAAAACATCTTTACTCGTTGTAACATCATTGTCAACTCGGAACACAATTTTCTTACTTCTGATCCTCCAGACAGGATATCATCCATGTAAAAGTCAGTTAAAGTAACAGAAGACGCAAGAGGGAAGCTTTGCGCCTCATCATAAGCTAGTTGATGTAAGGTTCTGGTTGCCAAATAAGGAGCACACGCGGTTCCATACGTTACAGTCTTAAGCGCATAACATTTGCTAGGTTCATTTGTACCCGTCTTCCACAGAGTTCTTTGGAGATCAAGTTGAGAAGGATCGATTTCAATTTGGCGATACATCTTTTCGATGTCCGCAGTAAATGCATATGCATGCTTTCTAAAACGCAGCATAATTTAAAGTAAATCATCTTGGATTGTGCCACCCTTTAGTAAAATGTCATTTAATTCCATTTGTGGTTTTACAGCTAGCGTTAAAAAACACCCGAAGTTTAGTGCTACTCTTTTCCGGTTTATAAACCCCATGGTGAGGTAAGTAATAGGCAGCCTCAGTTTCAGTTTCAATTTCCATCATGTGATTTAGCTGTTCGTATTCTCTCATAAATTCAGTATACAGCTTCTTCACTTGTGTTTGGCGTTCCAAACGATTCCATAAGTGATCCAAGAGTTTTGACGCAATTTCTTTAGAACTTCCAAGAGCTATATTTTCTTCATCAGTTTTTACAGGCATCTTTACTATATAACGTCCATCCGATTTTCTGCTATGGGTTTTTGCATAATGTTCTTCGCAGTATTGCAGTTCCTTACTAGGCGGGGGTTGATAATCTTCTATGCTTTCTACCTCCCAAAATTGTTTCATCGTTTCATTTAAAGACTCTAGACTTGTTGTCAGATAACAGTATTGCTTTGGTGATACGATACCAAGTTTAAAAAATTGAGGATCATCTAATTTTATGTTTTTTGGAATAACACTATTCGAAATCATTAGGGGTCTTGAAGGAGTGATATACGTAATTTTGGGGACAATGAAAAAATCCAAGTTCCATTCAGATGTGTGTTCTTTGTTTGATATTTTAGCATTTATTTTTGACTTTATGTTTATGATTGTTTCGTTTATTCCAGAGATCGGTGTGTAAGTTCTCTGTTTTGGTAAACCCAATGCATTAGCGCATGATGAAGTAATGAAGTTGGTTTGCGAAGCGGAATCCAAAACCGCTATTACGGGACGTGCACAATTTCCGGTGTGGCCAATATAAACGATAGCTGTACTTAGTAAGACAGTTTTGGTTTCAGTAGAAACGATCAAAGAGCTTTGATCGGGAGAACTTTGAATCTGAGAAGACTCGCATCTCTGTCCCGTTGTTTCACCTGCCACATCCGCTCCCTTCGAAGGGGAGGAAGAAACCGTCTTCATTGGCTGGGTCCATGGTTCAGCCATAGGTGACAAGGCCTTATGACCTTGCGGTAGTTCTCTCTTGACACTATTATGAATTAATAAGTGATGCCTATCCCCACAAGCGAGGCAGCTGGTTTTACATCTGCAGTCAATTACCTTGTGAAAGGGTTGTAAATAATTAGAACAAAGCTTATGCTTCTTAACAAGATCAATTCTTTCATTAATAGTAGCGTTTTTGAACGCTTCACATTTATATATCTAGTATTTATATATCCATTTATATATGAGCATTCGGATGCGGGAAAAATAACAAACATTTAATTATCTGGCAATGAATCAAATTTCATTGGAAATGTAATGGTAGAAAAAAATTATACCTGTATGGAAAATCTTGATGATAATTTACGAGTGTGTTTGTTTTTAATAGAAATAGTTAAAGGCTCCTAGATCTGTACTAAACTACTAAATTCGGTTAATTTTCATCAAAAACACAGTAAGAAGTTCTTCGTAATGATAAAATATTACTTAAATTCTCTAGCTTTGTAACTTCCCTCAGAAATTGGCAAGACCAACGGCTGTCTGGGCGATACAAGATAACTATGTGTTTAATAGGTTACTTCAAAGATATAAAAGAAATAACAGTTGGATAACAATAAGGGCATTTTCAAGAAACAAATGTTCTCTTATGTCCTTTTGGTATTATAATTCTAAACAAAATGCAAAAATTTAGTAAATACGTAGATAAATCTCAGGAAAAACGGTAAATTAACATGAAATGTTTACTTAAAGTCTATATTGTATTGTCGTTTTAATCTTTTTGTTTTTGAGTTCTATTATTTCTGAAGTTGTAATATTTCTGAATCTGAAACTTTAAAACACAAAATCACTCTGATTTATCAACTTGTGCCTAAATATAGAGTACAGTCATTAAGATGGAAGATTTTAATATAAGTAAATGTACTACAGACAAAATAAAATTAACAATACTTCATTGTTATTCATGCTCTGTTCATGAAAGTAGTTCATGAAAGTTCATGAATTTTTTTTTAAACACTGCGGCATGACAATGCCTAGTAATAATTGTTTTAGCGTCACTAAAAATCATTTTCTGGATTCCCTAACTGATTTTTTTTCCAAGAGATATTAAAAGTTGCAATTGACGAGTACGAGCAATGCATAATACATACATCTCTCTCTCTCTCTCTCTCTCTCTCTCTCTCTCTTCTCTCTCTCTCTCTCTCTCTCTCTCTCTCTCTCTCTCTCTCTCTCTCTCTCTCTCTAAGCTGTTATACGCTCGGTAAACGGTTATTAGTAAATCTTACTTTTACTTTAATTCTTAGTCTTTTAAGTTCAAGTCCAAAGCGCGGACTTTATTTGTTCACTCCCAGGCGGAGTTTTGTGAAATCTTATAGAAATAATAAAGGGTTATTTACCCTTCTCTCTTGTTGTTTCCTGTCTTCGAACTCTAGCGATTATTCGCTTATCAGTTCCTAGGTTCCTCACTTCCAACACTAACTTAGATTTCCAAGGTGAGGGACCTTACAATTGGCGCCCGAAAGGAATTATAAACGGACCATGTCGTTAGAAATCCGGGAAGTTTACGTTGACCCCTCCGACCTTTCAGGTCCCTACAACATCCACGAATCCAGTCGAAGGGTTTGGATTCCTCGTGGAAACGCTGCATGCAGCCATGAAACCGACAGCCAACATTTCGATGGCAAGGGCTCAGTCCTGACATTTTTGGAGCAACTAGACCTACATTTCACCTTACACCCTGTGAATCAGCTACAAAAAGGTGATCATCGCTACGACAGTCCTAAATGGTCAAGCCCTTAGCTGGCAGAGGAGTATAGGAAAGTTCTGTTGGGGGAACCAGGATCGAAATCATATAACTGGGAAAATTTCAAATCTGCATTAATTGAAAGCATTTCCAGTGGTTAAAGATCGTGCGAAGCTTGAATCAAAACTGTATAGTAAATACCAAGGCGGTTTCGAGGATTTGACAGAGTTCATTTTAAGAAAAGTACATATTTTAAATTTATTATACGGGAAAAGGCCCGATAAAGAAATTATCGAACTAATTCTACCGCGTCTTCTACCGTCAGCGCAAGATTTTCTCGAAGTGCGTAATCCGCAAACGTTGGAAATTCTGTTCCAGCTTGCAATGAAATTTCAAAGTAGAAGAAACGCAAAGAAAGCGCGTGCAAGTCCGTTTGGCCAGTACTCATGAATTACTCCCCAAAAGAAACCACAAGTTCAGTACAAGGCATATCGGCAGACAGGAAAAAGTGAAAAGTTTAATAGCAAGAACGCAGATAAATCTAACGGCCGTGGATATAAAAATCAGCGAAAAGAGGCGGCAGGAAATCAGACTTTAAACGCAAACCGGTGATCGAGAAGGGGCAACGGTCACCGAGTAGGACAGAAGAACCCTCAGAAATTTGTCTAAATACGGTCCTAGTACAAAATCTTGCTACGCTGGAGATACAGATTTTGGTAAATAATGTACCAACCACTGCACTTCTGGACACAGGGGCACAATATTCATTCGTATCGGAAAATTTTTCAAAAAACATTTTCGTCGTTACAGACTGTTTAAAGCCACGGGACAGAAAGTAATTGCCGCCCAAGGCAAACAGTGCGTATGTTTGGGGAAAACCGCACTGCATGTTCAGATTAAAAACGAGGTCCTAAAAGTTAATTTTTTAGTCGTGAAAAATTTACTCACATCAGTGATATTGGGGATCGATTTTTTGCGCGCGTCCGGCGCAAATCTTAATTTTCAGAATTCTACGTTTCAGGTGCACATGGACCCGGTACAAGAAGGTGAAGGTTCCATGCCGGAATTGAATCTGGATCATTTGAAGTTAGAAGAGAAAAAGAAGATTGAAGAATTGGTAAGAAAATTTAATTCTTTGTTTAACGAAAAACCTGGGTTTTGTCAGGTAGTTAGTCATTCCATAGATACTGGGAATGCCCCTCCAGTCCGGTCAAAACCTTACCGTTACGATAAAGTAAAAGAAGAAATTTTGGAAACCCGTATAAAAAATATCTTAAAGAATAAAATAATTGTACCAAGCACGAGCCCTTACGCAAGTCCGGTGGTCCTTTGTAGAAAAAAGAACGGGCTACCGCCTGAACACCCGGACGCGTATAGGTTTGCAGTTGATTCTTGTAAGTTAAACAGTATACAAAATATCCCACATATCCCCTACCAATAATTGATGAAATCATGAGAAACATTCGCTCGACTAAATTTTATGACAACCCTAGACCTCACGTCGGGTTACTTTCAAATAGCCGTGAAGCCGGAGGATGTCAAGAAGACCGCGTTTATAACAAAGTCAGGCGTCTATGCCTTTTTAAGAATGCCCTTTGGTTTGAGCGGAGCGCCAGCTACGTTCCAAAAAGCTATGGACATAGTCTTAAAGCCAGTTTTGGGTAAAAGTACAGTAATTTATCTTGACGATATCATAGTTACCAGCGAAACATTAGAGGAACATTTGAAACATCTAGAAGAAGTTTTTTCTTTACTTAACGAGGGCGGTTTCAAAATAAATGCAAGAAAATGCAAGTTTGCGGCGAAGGAATTACGATACCTCGGGTACAAAATCTCGAATAAGGGAATAGAGACTCATGATTCAAAAATTAAGTCAATTAAAAGTTATCCTCCCCCAAATACGGCTAAGAAATTGTCTTCATTTTTGAGCTTATGCTCCTATTATAGAATGTTTATAAAAGATTTTGCTAAAATAGTTGAGCCTCTTCTAGTGCTAAAAACAAAGAAAAGTACATTTTCTTGGACAGCCGAAGCGAACACCGCGTTTGAACAATTAAAGAATGCCCTAATCAATGCCCCAGTCCTTAAATTCCCAGAAGGCGAGCAAGGTCTCGCATTTCACTAGGCGAGCATTTCAGCGGATGCATCCGATTATGCAGTTGGAGCGGTGCTCTCCCAAAATGGGCAACCTATAGCTTTCTTTTCGGAAACCTTGAATGCTACGCAAAGGAACTATTCCGCTACTGAGCGAGAAACGCTCGCTGTGTTATTAGCAGTTCAGAAGTTTCGGGTCTATTTCGGAAGTTCATCGATAACGGTCTGCTCAGATCATGCGGCAGTGGGTCGCTTGTATTCAGGAAAAAATTTTAACGCCTCGCTTGATACGTTGGACTTTAGAATTACAAGAGTTAAACCTAATTATAAAACATACTCTGGGAAAGGAAAACTTGGTCGCCGATGCCCTTTCGCGAATAAAAATTGATGAAGAGGGAAACACTATCAAGTGTGCCATGCTGAAAAGTTATTGAGTCCCGTGAAACGATAATCGAAGAATTAAAAAAGGATCCAGAGTTTAAAGACATTTACGCATACTTGGAAGACCCTGAAAAATTTGAACATATAGATTTAACAGCTATCCGCAATAGGGCACAGCATTATGAAATAATCGACAAGTTGTTATTTTACGCAAAAGTAACTAATGAAAATCAGGAATACCGACCAGTAATCCCAGCGAGTCTACGTTTAAGTATCTTAGAGGAGTTACACGATCTACCTTTTGCAGCACATTTGGGAATACCAAAAACACTAAAGAGGGTACGCGAATCGGTTTATTTTCCGCAATTATAGAAAGTTGTTACGGCGTATGTTAAGTCGTGCCATATGTGCCAATTAATAAACGATGTTAATTACAGCCCGGCCGGGTATTTAAAAAACATAAAGACCACTTTTTTAAAACGGAATAGTTGGAATAGATTTGCTAGGACCCTACCCTAGGACAAAAATAAATAAAAACAGATATCTTTTAACAATCGTTGATCATTTTTCAAAATGGGTAGAAATAGTCCCTCTTAAACGAGCTTCAGCTAAAATAGTCGCAGATTCTTTCTTAATAAATATATATTTAAAATACGGGGCCCCACTAAAAGTAATATCAGATAATGGAAAACAGTTTTGTTAGTAGTATATTTAGAAAATTTGTGCACAGGACTTGGCATACGCCACGCCATCTAAAAATTGGTACCATATAGACCGCAGTCGAATATAGCGGAACGCTTAAATAAGAATATTGTAAAAATTATCAGATGGCATATGTGAAAAACTTTTCATGACCGCTGGGACAGCTGTGTCAATGAGTTAGGTTTTGCCTTGAGAACCGCAAAGCACGAATACTACGCAGAAAACCCCCTGCGGAGTTATTTTTAGGAAGAAAAATCATTAATGCCGTTTGGATAAGCTTTTCTTTGTACAACAAGCGACAAGAAGAATTTAAGTTACATTCAAAAAATTATTGACGAAGCTATTAAAAGTTCTGATATAGCAAGACAAAAACAAAAGATTTATTATGATAGAAATAGAAGGGCATTGGAATATACAGTGGGACAAAAAGTGCTGAAGTTGAAATATTCGTTATCGTCGGCACCAGAAAACAGAGTGGCGAAGTTTGAGCCCAGGTTTGAAGGGCCGTACATAATGGAAAGAATAAGAGAAGCCCCGTTTTATTTAAAGGCCGAAAATGGCCAACAACTGGTGGCAAATATCGATCAGTTAAAACCTTATTACAGCCGCACTGACTTTAAAATATTGCAGGATTTATTACAGGATTCTGGAAGTAAGGAGAGAAGCCCGCCAGCTCAGGAGTACAGCTCGAGTTTCCCAACGCAAAAAAGAAAGCAGAGCCAACAAACTTCGACCAGGGAGACCCATACTACTAAGGCTACAAGCGCACAAAAAAGGAGGAAATTAGCACCGACAGATCAACGAGTCAAAACCCAGGATGCTGCAAAAACTCAAGTGCCATCGACCACACGAGGGAGGCCAGCTGACCAGGTTCCAGGAAAGGAGAAAATTCAACGACGAATTAAAAGTAGACGTAAACCACAGTTTACAGCATCAACAACTAAGGCAGACCCAAGGAGGACCAGCGTGGAGACCGAAAAGCCAGGAAAGACCTGTAGACACAACCGTGCCGGAGCAACAAGTTAGAAGGGCCAAGAGAAGTTTCAAAGACCCTGAAGGACGGAGAGCCCCACCGGAGTCAAAAAGGAAATTTACATTCCAGAATCCACAACCGTCCCGGAAGAGTCCCAGATTCCTACATAAAGGGCAGAAAGGGAAAGCACTGGAACTGAATGGAGCGGAACATCGAACATCGAGAAGAAGAGTAGAGGTTATCAGGTTTTCTACATCTGATCAATTCTGTAAAGACAGGATGCAGGAGTACAGAAAAAGATAAGTGAAAATTTCTTTGCTAATTTTTCTTTGAAGTTCAAGTTATATTAAATTGTTATATGTTGCTAAAGCTGTTTAGAAAATTTAAATCGCAGATAGCGATATTTTGTAAATCTTCGTAAGCATAGATTTTTATGTTAGTAATTTGGCGAGAAGCTACTAGCGTTAAATACTTTTTGTTAAGAACTCGCAAGTTGCGAGAAGTAAGTTCTGAATAAGTTTAGTCGGAAGACTATTGGAATACTATAATATGTTAACGTAAAGTTAAGATTTCGTGTAAATTTTGGTTAAAGTGTAATTAAGCAACTATGACTGTTGATGTAAAATGAATTCAAAAGTAATGTGTAAATATTTAAATGGTTATGTTCATGTAGAAATGTTTGATCTTTGTGTTGAAATATCGTAAAGATTAAAAGGACATAGAAAATAAATTTTTATTTCTGCGTATGGGAGTACGAAAGAATGCAATATTGATATATATGTGTTTAATGTTAAGCTCTCCAGTTAACACGTTTAAAAGTAAAATATAAGCTTTTGCTTACCTACAATAGGAAACAGTTTTCGTGTAGGGAGTCTTGGCAGGTCTAGTGTGTCAAATTTTAACAAAGTTAGGTGTTGTGTAGCGGTAGTTTGTTCGCGGTAACAAGTATAGTAAATATACGCTAAGTATATTTCAGTACATTTGCTGGAGAGCATGGGTTAAATAAATCTGTAGATGAATGAAAGTGCATAAAGGCCAAATAATGAATTAAAAGCTTAAAGCTAGGATTGCTTGTTACTCAAAAGAGTTCATTAGTATTTTCCTTTTTGAACTTTAATTCTTAAATGTTAATAATTAAATGTTAATTTCTAAGGGTACCACTTTATTGGAATTACTTTTGGTTTTGACTTTTACCCTTGCCTGCATGAATGACGAAACACGAATTGAATGATTGGAGAGTTAGGTTTGGAGGCAACTTCCCCTTGATAAGTCTGTCTCCTGCCTACACTACGGTCATTCACATATGCATTTTTTAAATTATTTAATTTAATTTTAATTTATTAAATTAGTAGATTTATTTTCATGGATAGATTATGCACTTGATTTGCTTATGCTTCTGAATTTAAATGATATTGTAGATTAGTTCGAGAATTAAATCTTTTACTTGTTTGCACATTTTTTTAAAAATTATTTTAAATTTTGGCTTTTTTCCTTTTTTTAGAATTTTAATTTGCTTTTTTACTTTTATACGTATTTGTTAAGAATTTAAATTTGTTTAAATTTAAATTTCATTCCTTGCAGCAATGGCGCAAAGAATATTTAATTAAATATGTATTTAATTTTTTTAATTAAATTCAATTTATTCTTATAAGCATTTATATTGATATAACGTAAATATACGTATGGTAATGAACATTATAAATATAAAAATAAATTATATATGTACGAAACATAACTAACCATTCATATTGATATTACGTAAATATACGTATGGTACTGAACATTGTATAATAAAGATATTTTTCTTTGATATTTTATACCTAGTTCTATATTTGGTTCCATTTGTATATACCTATATATATCTATAAGATGATATATATAATTTAAGGATTTCTTATTAACTACTACATATAAAACCCAAAAGTGCATCAATAATGTATTTTTCAGTATTATTTAACTTCATTCTGAAGAATTTTCTGCAGTCTACAGTGGTGGCCAAAATTGTGGACACTTTTGGAAATTTTTATGTTTTTGAACTTTGTATGCTTATAGAAAATGTTACGTTTCGCAAAATGCAAACTTGTGTGTATCATTTCAAAGAGAACTTATTACTGAATTCAATACAAAACACAAAATTCAATTATTTGCAATACAAAAAAAGTTATATGTACTTTAATATAAATAGAAAACACAATTATGAAGTGGTTTGTAATGTCTAGCTTTCCTGGCCAATCACTGTTCTTGTTCTGAGAACCAATCAAATGTTAGTAACTGCCAGTAGAAGCTGACATCATGTTTACACTTGAAACAATTCATTATTTTGCTTTGTCCTGTAGAAGGAGGACCTGTTTCTTATACACTGCAATTACAAGTAGGAATTTTTGTAAAAAATTTTAATATTTAGTCAAGGAGCATGACATTAAATAAAAGAGTAGATTGGACACCTAGAAAGAGATGTAATATTATTGTGTTACGAGAAAGTGGTCTTTCCTATGCTGAAATTGCAAGACAGGTGGGTAGTTCAGTGACTACATCTGGAGTCCGAAAGTTTTGTTTACGATATCAGGGGACAAATTCAATAAAAAACAAAGAAGGAAAAGGCCGAAAAAGCTGCACCACATTTATTGATGACAGAAGAATAAAAAGACTATGTCTCCAAGATAGAAAAATGTCATCAGCGGCCATCTGAAGTGATCTGATTGCTGCTGGTGTTTCTGTCAGTTCAAGAACAATCAGGAGAAGATTAACAGATGTTGGACTGAGACGCAGAATTCGACGAAAAAAGCCTTATCTTAATTTTCAGCAACGAAAAAAAAAAAAAAAGACTACAGTGAGCATAGGAACATATTAATTGGACAGATGATCAGTGGTCACAAGTTATATGGAGAGATGAAACTAAGATATCGTTATTCGGTAGTGATGGGCGAAAATATGTAAAACGTAGAATAAGAGCAGAGCTACATCTTGACTGCATTCAAGCAACTGTGAAGAACCCAGTTAGTGTTATGATTTGGTCATGCATGTCAGCAGATGGTATTGGTCGCCTTCATGTCATCGATGGGACACTGAATGCCAGAAAATACATTGACACTATTCTAGAACCAAAACTTCTACCTTCCATCAGAGATGTCTTTCCCAACAATGCTTCGTTTATTTTTCAGCAGGATTCTGCTCCTTGCCACACGGCCAAAATATCGAAAGAGTGGTTTCGTACAAAGAGCATTAAATTGTTGTTATGGCCAGGAAACAGTCCTGACCTCAATCCTATCGAAAATTTGTGGCACCGTTTGAAAACTGTTGTCCGAATGAGGCGCCCATCAAATAAAAGGGAACTAATTGAGGCTATAATTGTTTCCTGGCATCATGTAATAACGAAAGAAGAGCTTAACACTCTTGACAGCTCAATGAAACGTTCGATGTGAAGCTGTAATCAAAAATAAAAGGTACCCTACTAAGTACTGAATACTCACTGCAATCATCATTATCTAATGTATATCGATAACTATTATCGTTTAACTTCTTTTGTATTGCAAATAATTGAATTTTGTGTTTTGTATTGAATTCAGTAATAAATTCTCTTTAAAATGGTATATACAAGTTTGCATTTTGCGAAACGTAACGTTTTCTATAAGCATACAAAGTTCAATAACGCAAACTACAGTGGTGGCCAAAATTGTGGACACATTTTGTAGTTTGCGTTATTTTATTCATAAGTCTTAAATAAAAACAATTATTGTTTATATGTCATTAGAAAATTAACTAAAAAGCAGCGACCACAATGTAATTGAAAAACAGTCCTTAAAACCTTATGCCAGAGTACACATTGACACTATTCTAGAACACTATTCTAGGACACTGAATGCCAGAAAACACATTGACACTATTCAAAAACTGCTTTTAATATAAGCATATGTAATACGGACTAGTATTGCATATACTTATATTAAAAGTTTTTGGTGTTCCTTCCTTTTATCTAATAACTATATGTGGAGGAACCTAATGAACTGCTAAGCGAATAACCGCTTAAGTCCAGAAACAGAAACGTAAAACTCAAGAAGGGTTCATTACCTCTAATGAATTTTTTATGTGAATTCAGGGCGAACAGCAAAGCCTTCACTCGGGCTTAAACTCAAAAATGTAAGAAATAAGAACTTATTTAATGATTAACTAAAGAGCACATGTCTTTGGTTAATACAAATTAACTAGTTGGCCGAAGCTAACACAAATCTAACTAGTTGGCTCGTAAATATCGAATAGCTAGCGAAGCTATCAATGGCCTGTTATATGGCCGAGCGTAGTAACAGCTTAGAGAGACGTGGCCAAAAGGCAAACACGCGCTAGTCATAAACTCTGATTCTTTCCCTCGAAGTCAGTGGAACTTAAATACTACTCATTTGCATTAAACGCGATTCTAAAAACAAATTCTCGTAAGGAATTTGTAAGCTAAAATTAGAATAAATAAGAAAGGAGCTTAAAAATAACTGTTATAAGTTTAGGGTAAACCTTACAAGTTATCAAAAAGCTGTTGACTTCACAAAAAATTGCTGTTTGACCTTTCATAATTTAGGAACTGTCGAAATGAGATTTTTATATTACTTAGTAGGATTGATATAACTACTCCCCCATTTTCATTTTGTGAACAATAACTTATATTCAAGAATTTATTTCTCGTACTTTTTAACACAATAAAGCTCCCATTCATATTATAATTTTATCACAATGAAATGTGGATAAAATCCAATGTTTGAAAGTTTTTATATAGGACTGGAAAATCAATTAATTTTATTTCAGTTTTTGTTTATTAGTTAAATTGAATGAATTGTAAGTACTTAATTCCTTTTGTAAATGTAGATATTTATGCATGTAAAATTAATTTTTAAATTATACGTTTAACGAATTAGATTTGTCTGACATTTTACTACTACAAACACATTTCAGTGTCAGTGACTGCAAATACACTGTTCGACATTAAAAATGCAACACCAAGAAGGAGTGGTCAGAAATTTATGCAAATTTTAGAGTAGACGCACGTCACTGAGTTATGCGAATGGTG